GATCAGCTATGGAACGGCACCGACGCTACCGGTCGTTCAGTCCTACCCATCTTTCGGCAATTTTCAGCCGTACGGTCACGACCCGTTCGCCGCGCTGTCGTTCACCCATCCGTTCTCAATCACCAACCTGATCGATTCCTCCAAACCTGGCGCGGATTACGGTGGTGCGTGTTACAATGTCCCTGGATCGCATAATCAGCACGGCCAATTGAGTCCGATGATGTCTCAGATGGGTCAGACAACGATGCCCGACGGTATATCCTATTACCATACGTTGTATTCGTCAAGCAATCCCGGTTCGGCCGCAAACCTCTGAGCACGTTGGTGTCTTCATTGACGATCTGTGATACCGGCGACCTCTGGACACACGTCGATCCACATTGAACGAACGACAGGGTGTCTGGTGGTGAAAAACTTCAGGACGTGCAGCGCGACTGTACAACGTATTAAAGTAGCATTTATGTCTTATTCGACTGCTGTTTATTCGTGTTCTACCATGACCATAGCCATAATGTGCCCTTTCTGGAAGTGCCAAATGTGTACAGACAGAGATCCGAGCGGAGACCGTGCGGTCGCCCTGTGCATAGTTAGTTTCGATTCACTTTCGCTGTTGGTTTTAGCAGGCGAGGAAGGAGGACGACAGTTACGAGGAAGAGACGACGACGACGACAATTGCTGCGATGTGATTTCTCATTGATTTTCCACGCCCGCCTCGTTCTGTGTACATACAATCACGTAAAGTTATATTTTGGTGAAAAAGGTGTGCTACTATTTCAAACAAGGTTTGTTTGTTGTTTGATTATTTTTGCCACTCAGATATTGAGCGCCAACATGAATGTCTTCTGAGCGACTAAGCGAACAACGCGTGTGCTTGTGGGGACGGGAGACGGCTAGTTCAAGTAAAGGACAGTAATTTGCTGCTTGCCTTGTGACGACGTTGCTGAACGATGAATCGCCGCTGTCGTATTAGTGGCCGCACCGGTGCCATCTAGCATCAGTACGGAAGCGAGGGCGTTTTACAACGATGACCTGCACGAGTCGCACGCGCACGTGTTTAGCTATCAAAAGCTGCCTTAATAAGGTCGAACAGACTTCCCATGGGGACGA